GAAGTTTTGTAAAAATAGATTATTAATTGCCTTGGATACTTATGAGGAATTAAAAACTATTAAAGTGTAACAAAAGTTATAAATATTAAATTAGACGGTGCTACTGTAACAATTTTTTTATCTAATTTTTTTGATACAATTTTTACATGTCATTAAATGAGTGAATGCATTTAATAACACGGATCTCATATGAATAAAAAAATTAATTATTTAAATGGCACGTCAAATTGTATTAAAAGATGGGATGAAAAGATTGTCTCAAAACCAATTAATTTAAATGTATATAATCAATTACAATATGAATATAATATTCTAAAACAACTATTGATATTCTAACAATTATGAGGCGAGAGGAGTATAACATGTGTCTTAATATTTCATGGTTTTATCTTAGTTCTTATTCATTTATAGTCTCTTCTCTCTATTTTTGGATGTAAGTACCTTTTGACTTATCGTAAATAACTATGTATTCTTAAATTCATATTTAAGTGCCTCATTTTGATTAGTTAAAAAGTTTTATTTGTAAGGAATTTTCCGATCATATTTTAGGTCTGTATCTCTCTGTTTTACTTCTCTGGGATGCCTGATTAATTAGTGTCAATTCTTGGTGATAAAATGATATCCAACTTTGTCAGGAAATATTTGGCTTTTGTATGTATACCTGTTCAACTATCCGGAAAAATAGGTGTGCAACTTCATATTAAGAAAAGAAACTTGATTTTTCTGGGGATGACGAATTAAGTGGGAAAGGAAGAATATCAAGAAGATTCTGATTTCTACAAAAGGGCAAAATAATGAGAAAAATGGTGTAAACCAAACATGGGTTATGTTAAGATTAATGTATATCGCCGGACTTTATTGGGGGGGTTATGGTGTTGTGGTAAGGGACTGTTGTGGTAATCTATTTAATAGATGGGGAACATGAAAATGAGAATGCTAGCACAGCATTAACGACTGAGACAATTGCTTCGGACATTGGCATGCGCCATACAGTTAGCAGCAAGGAAAGCATATGTCATTTCCATTTTTGATAAATGGGAAATGGAGGGATATTGTGACAATCACGAAATACAAAATCACTAGAATCTGCATATGAACTAGGTCATGTTTTGGGCCCAGGCCATTCCTCTGTTTGGGAAGCTGTAACGTTTCCTAGTACTGGGCCTCGAATTACGAAAGGGCTGAGCCCACATGTATTCAAGGATTATCAGACAACAAAGTACCAGGCTAGGCCATTCAAAGTATAAAATAAAACAAAGTAAAAAAGGTATTTTTAATTTATATTTTAGGGATATGGCTTAAAAATATTGTGGTCATAAATACATATAAAAAATAAAAATTAATACTAATTTTACACTACAATTGATTTAAGAAAAATAAAAAAAGAAGAAAAACTTTTTTTTAACTCATCAAATTATAACATTTAAAAATATTATAATTTAATTAATTAGAAAACTTTTTTTTTCCTCACTTTCATTCTCTTCAATTCAAAAATGTTGATGTTTAATAAATAAATTAATTACAAAATACAATAATTAAGCACAACGAAATGAAATACACAACTCAATAAAATCTCCTAAAAATCTAAATCATCTACTACATTCAAACCTAAACCCACTACGCAAGGCCTCTTCGACATTTTTTACAAGTATTAACGTATACCATCTTGTGCTCAATCATTATATCCCCCTACCTCGTTACTAATTTACTACAATCGAAATTCAACATATATGGTTCAAAGTAAATCAGTTGGATCAAACAAATGACAAAATCGACATCAACAAAAATTACCACAAAACACTTGAAATAACAACATAAAAATGTTCAATACTTATAAGTTTCCCAATATCCTTAAAATCATAGCACCACCATCTATCACAAAGTTCAAGATTATTAAAATAACAATCCACGGAGAGTTTGAAACCACATGCAGCAATCTAAATATCGAACTCAACCACTACTCAATACAATAAAAACCCACAGAGTTGAAATCATATCCAGAAAACCACGTAGTCTAAACATCGAACTCAATCACAACTCTCAGATGATTCTCAAGCTGAATGTCTCTTCGTAACCAATAAAATTGGAAACCTGCACCAAAATCAAACCAAACAATCAAACATGCATAGAAAGAATTAATGATAAAGAGGCGAGTTCACAAAATTTTTTTTTTTCTCCCAATGACTAAAAGAAAAAGGTCAGGTTGTGAAACAACCCGAGACAATGCCCTCATTGGACTTCATTACACTCTCTATGTCTGTTTAGCAATAATGAAAAAACAAGAGGTTCGCTCACCTCAAGGTAATGATAGCCCAACCAAATCAGGCAACCTAGACATTCAATTATCTGCAAGCAAAATGGAAATCAATTAACAAAATGTTATGGAAAAAAGAGGAAGAAGATTAAAGTAATTTCAAAATATACCGTTTTTAGTGTCTTCTGAAGTTTCTGCCATCATGACCTGTTTCTTAGGTTTCTTCTTTGGTTTCTCAATGCATAGTTTTCTCAAGTTTTTCTGAAAGAGACACCAGAACAAGATATGATTAGCACAAAAACCGTTAAATCCGAATCCCAAAGTTTCGAATGATGGTACCACAACAAAATCAAACTTACATATTTTTTCTTCATGGCCTTCACTTTTTGACGCAGCTGACTCTTTTTTTCAGTCCATTTTTTCTCCGCAAGTTCTTTTTCAGCCTCAACTTTGGCAATTTTCTTCAGGTACTGTTGCTCCTTCTGCAATTTATCCTCCATTTGAGCTGCATATGTCTTCAGTAGCTGATCCATTACCTGATTTGCATTCTCAAGTTCCTGACATTTATTCTTAAGTTCCTGTTCCTCATCCTGAACATTCCATATAGCATACAATAAAATACAAAGACATCTAATAATAAAGATACTTGTTCAATTACCTTTTTCTTTTGGCGGTGTTTTCGATCAGTTGCTCTTTTCCTCTGAAGCTTCAGTTCTTTTTCTGCAGCTTGATCCAATTGTTCCTGGATCAATGGCTGAATTCCAGCTGCGAATTGATCTATGTAAGGTGTCTATGAGATATTCATCAAATCTACTAAAGAAAAACTATTATAGCTTAGAAAATCTAAGCTATATTGATTGGACTCCACACCTGTTGTAGCAGCATGATGTACCATTCCTCCTTCATCCCAATTTGAATCTAGGCCGTCATCTAACTCTAACAGGGGTTCAACTGCAAACAATCAAATAAAAAAGTACTTTTTCTATAAAACTATACATGGTTAATAATATTGACAATAAATACTTACGCCTTTCAAAAATATTTTCCCCATCTTGACCTATTTAATCGAATAAGAACACAAGAATAAGAGAGAAATTGAAGACTTTAAATAAAACTATAATTAGAACAAAAAAAAAAAGAAAAAAGGATACGTTAATGAGATCGCTTTACCAAGAAATTGCGCATCTGCATCGCCTCCTTGGTTGGGCTGATCCATAATGATTCTAAAGATAGGTGCGTGAGTAACAGCGTGTAGTTGCAGAGAATTTCAAATTCTTCTCTTGTTAGGATCTTCTCTTCCGTTAACCTACAAAGCCTCGTGGTTGATCTTCCGCACAGACACTCCGACTACCTAAAACCCTAAATGAGTAATAATCGGGCCTCCTAGATAGAAAGGAAGACCTACCTTCTGGGGGTACTCGGTATTTATAGGCGAATTCCGTCCCCACGCATCTTACTTTAAACCCAGACGCCACCACCCCATTGCCTCTATTCTTCTGATCGTGGCTGAGTACAGGTTTTAGAAATGGAAGATATCGATCGAGATTTTGAGGTTTATATTCACCGGAGCGATTGTTGTGTTATTTCGGTTTAAGGCCATCTATCGTCCCTCTACTATCCAAAATAGTGCATTCTAAACCTTCTACTATGGATATGGATTGGCTTCATGTCGTCCCTCTACTATCAATAAACTCTACCTGTCATCCCTCTACAATGTAAAAGCTTGCAAATGTCGTCCCTCCGTCCAAGTAAACTAACGGTCTTGTTTATTGACCGTTAGTGCAAACGGTCCCCCCGTCCAATTTTGTCTTATTTGAACACATTACTTGTTAAAAGTTTTTTTTTTTTTTTTGAGCAACATTACTTTTTAAAAGTTGAACATAATAAAAATTTTTAGTGTACCAAAAAAAATTTTTAGTTTAAATTTTAAAATAAGTAATAGATATTATATAAAAAATTTGTCTAATGTATGATTTGTGAGATTATAAATTAAAAATATATTAATGATATTTGTTTTAATTTATATAAAAAATATGAAATTTTATTTTAATACTAA